AGACAGTAGTTATGCCATTATATTAATTATAAGCCAAAATATGAAAACAATTTATTTTATAATATAATTAATATATAAACACAAAGCCATAAAATGAATTTTTTTACTTAATCTATTTTCGTAATTACCGGCACAAATATAAGCATTGTGAGCCTTTATAATCACTTGTATTTAGTAACATGATCGTTAACTTTGTTTTTCATTAAAATGAATCATTGATCTTACCATTTTTTCTTAAGATAATCGCGTTAATGACCAATAAATAGGTCGCTTTGTTTCATTAGGAAAACTTAGAAGGACGAGATATCTTATTGAAACTTTGATTGCCTTATTCGTGCATCAATGATCTTTAGTTTCTTATTTAAGTATGCTTAAACTGTACGCTCGAGTAAAGAAAGAGTTCAGTAGAATTTCATGGAGTAATGTAAATCGATAATACTTTTTTATCACAATATAAACGAATCGATAAATTATTTATTTAATTGAAATCATTTATAGGAAATTATCATTTATTAAATTCATATTGATTAGAAAAATTATTTATAAAAATTACCAATACAAATGCGTAGATGACGTTGGATGTTCATTTTATCAATAATTTGTCCTATTTCTCACATAATAATATTTTTGATAATGGGAATAAAATTGAAAGGAAGGTAAAGAAGCAAAGAAAAAGATAGAAATATATGTATATATATATATAGAAAGAGAGAATGAGAGAGAGAAAGGGAAGAAAGAAAATGACTGCAGCAAAATCCCTACGATTAGCCACGGTCAGTTGGTTAGGGTTAACTACGTCTATTTAGTCGTAGCGCAAAACATTTAACTTAACTACAACAAAGTGCTCGAACTCAAATGAAATATTATTAAAGCCGGGAAACGCGACGCATACTTAAATCGTAATTACAAACGGGTACTTTCGTGACGAGCGTCGTTTAAGGACCTCCGTTCTAAATCAGAGACATTCGTGTTTCTTCCTTCGAAAAAAAAAAGAAGTTTCTTTTAGATTCGTGAAAGTTTTTTTTTCTTCTTTTTTTTTATTACCTGAAGGATTCAGGTCGTGAAGATTGTCATATCATTGTTGTTGTTGTATCGAATCGTTTTAATCGGTCGAAACGTTACTTTCTATTTATTAATGTCTTTTTCTTTATAATTATCTATTAAACGAATGAACGATCTATAATGATCTATAAAACATCTTAAAATATATTACTAATATCATTTATAACTAATTTTTATCTGAAACTAAATTATCTTTTTTATTTCTTTCTTTCTTTCATTTACTTTTGCTTTTATTACTTTTTTTTTTTTTGGTTCTTCACTTGTAAGCTCTTTGAAAATCCTTTATAAAATTTGATCAGTGATACTCACGATTTGAACAACTTCGTGGATCCGGCAAGGACAATCGACGTTGAGCGTTCACGACGATTACGCCGAGGAACAGCAAACAGATGGCGACCCTCATACTCTCAGACCTTAAATAAAACAAGTCGAATGAATAAATCAAAACAAATACTAAATATTACAAATTAAATACAAATATTTGCATTTCGAAGATAAATTATTTTATTGTAAAATTAAAAATTTCAAATTCAGAAATTGTTTTATATAAATAGAATTTATTTTTATACGAATAAAGTTCATTTGACTTTTTCATTAGAAACTCTTAAATAGATACGAATATTTAAATTTATCTGTTACAAAACTACTAAATGATCAAACGTTGAAGGATAAAATAATGCAAAAATTTTATTGATGTATTTCTATTACGTCATATCGATAACAGTCTACCATCTTTCGTAATATTACTGGTTTTAGTCTCGAATTTTATTCGAAATTGAAATTCCATCTCTATGTATACTCAATTGCATCATCGAATTTTAATTTCGGTGATTTACAAACCCATTTCGATTATATATTACTTTTTGATGTTTTATACGATGTTTAACATTTACATAACATTTGATTAGATTATAATTTTATGTAAAATATATAATTGATTTGAAGAAAAATTTTATTCGTATTTTTTCGATAAATTATTTTAGAATTGTATAACTACAGTAATATGTCATAAAGTAAATAAAAAAAAGAATTATGATATTTTTTTATGATGATATTTATGAAAATAAATAAGAAACTTGATGCATTAAATAATTATGGTTTACTGACCATGAAACTAAAATGACATTATCGTTTGCTAACTTACATAATATGTTTCATACAATTAATGTTTTTCTTTTTCCTACTTTTATCGAAATATTAATTGAAAAATTTATTTAGATAAGATCCATAAAACTTCGATTTCGATCGAGTAAAAAAACACACGATTGAAAATATAAATCTACTGGATAATGATGAGAGTCGAACTCGAGGCTAGAAATAAGAAATAAATAAAAAATGATGATAAAAGCTCAATTTCACGCATCGTATAAATCGAAATAGCACCTGATTATTGTACTAATAACTTTTATTTTATGAGAAACTGAGAAAGATTTTCTTGGAATCGCTATCGTTTTTTTTATAGCAAAGTCTTGATATAATCTATGTGGTTTCTAAGATTCTACTTTATACTCATTTTAATAGTTCCTTTCCATTTTAACATTTTCTTATTTACTTTGATTTCAAATAAAATTCTACAAATATTATTTGAAATTATTTCGATATATAACGACTATAGATAGTTATTTTTTCAATCATTTGGTAAAAATATTATTTCACCATATTTCTTAACGATTAACCAGTTATTTTTATCTTAATTATAAAATTTTTAAAGAGCAATAAAATAAGAAGAAGATTAAGACAAAACTTAGATTTATTTATGCATAAAGTGTATACTTAATTACAATAATGTTAATAAGCTTCGACATAATAATGAAGACTTTTTAACCATTTTTTAGATTTATCGTGTGATTCATACAAATGTCTCATTTTACTTACTCATAATTTGAATACATTAACATATTTCTTGATATTCGTCGGATTTATTATGCGGTTCGGTAAGGTATTTTCTTTGCGGTTCGTAAGTTTAGTATATTTATCATGTTTCTTGAAATTCATCATCAGATTTATCATGCGGTTCATAAAACCGAACCGTAAATGTAGTATCTTAAGCTCGCAAATTATAGGATGAACGTGACCGTAAGGAAGTTGCAGTTTGCATTTCGAAATAATCACGAAGTACTGGCTGATCACTCTCACGTCGGTTACCGTAAATGTCAGGTTCAAATGATCACGTATGTCTGTATCCTTACGTTCTCAGTACTCGTAAACCAGTCTGGAAGGCAAAGGTACATTAACCTCAGCGTCGAAACATTAAATTGCGCGTAAGAAGACTATAAAAATGAAACTCCTTGCAGTATCGTTAGTTAACACGTAGCAGGACTCAAAGAACGTCCTTGCACATAACTTTAATTGCTTTTTTTTCATATACATTTTTCTTTTATTTAGCATAAATCAAATTTCTGATTATCGTTAGCTATTATTCATTATATTATATATATATTATATAAATTTTGTTCAGTGCAATAAAAATAAATTCATTCATTAACCGTATGAAAGAAGTCTCATAATACGAGAACTCTGGAAAGTTCATTATTTTGTGGTCGTTAATCACTATTCTATTAAATCGAGATCCCCTTTATGAAGAGATAAAAACCGTAATAGGTATACTATAGACGACGTGTTCACATAATAGGAGTAAATCATAAACAATTGGTGATTAAATCGAGATACGTTATATAACATACCCCGTACTCTTTCTACTCTTTTAGAAGAATTCTCATATACACATACATATATATATATATATATATATATATATATATATATATATCTTATAGTTTAAAGAACCGTAAGGAACGACACTTCTTTCTTTCCTTATTCGTAAAACGGCACTAACATAAGCTAGAGGATTTGCTTCAGCATCCAAAAGTTTCTTACTCGACTATCAACTAAGATCCATTCTCTTTCAATCCATTTATAGGGATCGGTTGTGAAAGGAAAATTTCAATTTTAGTCTCTTTCACTTCGTATATTACGTATGATATCGATCTTGAATTTAAAAAAAAAAATAAAATAAATTACAAATCTCTCGTTGTAATATTCCAATGATTAAAAGTTTGATTTTCTCAATTGATTTATAAAAAAAATACATGTTTCTTATTCATATCAAACAATAAACTACGAAAAACAAAGAAGAGAATAGTAGTTAGACGAGGTTGCAAAATCTCACGCATTCAACGATCCGCTCGTTCGCTTTTATAATCCTCGGTACGAAAGGAGCAGTGAGATGGTTTGTCTCATTAATTTCGTACCTTGCGCCCTCTCTCTCTCTCTCTTTTTGTCTCCTTCATCCTTTATATATCTTTCTCTCTTCCTCTTTCTATCTTCCTCTGACTGCTTTTAATCACAGTACGATGCTCAGTACTCGCGCTTTCTCCGTGAGTGTTACGAACCGATACAACTCTTCAATTCACTCACTCTTATCTTTTGCTATTTTCTCACGATGCATTCACTTCGAAAGAGAGAGGAAGAGAGAGAGAGAGAGAGAAAGAGAGAGACAATCAAAGATTGGATGCTCGTATTTCAACGACGTGTGAAGATCGACTCGAAACGTTAAAATTTGTGAGAAAACGGAAAAGAAAATTCTTATTAACAATTTTTTGTTTACAATTTTGTAGTTTCAATCGTGAAAATCACAATATTATAAAATCTTGAAATATCTTCAAAAGGTTGTAGAAAATCTTCAAACAATCTTTCATTTTGCTGAGAGAAAAAATAAACTATATTAAATCTCTTTTTCTCTTTTTCTATCTAACATAAGTCTCAATGAATTTTGTGTCGAATTGATTTATTTTAAATTCGCAACTCTAGGAAGCTAGGCACGTATAGTATTAGTTGAATCTACCGTTAGAGAACATTACATATGATATACTTTTATCGTTCACCTACTTCTTATCGCGAAAGTCTACCTTGTTGCACTTACGATCGTTTTTAATATAATAGATTTTTTCTTTCTTTTTAGTATGAAATATATATATTTAAGTTTATTTTTTGAATCGATATCATAGAAATTATATTTAAACAATAGAAAATTGTTTCAATAATATTTATAAATCGTTTTTCGATTAAATTAATTATTTATTAGTATAGTTTTTTTTTATTTTTGAATAAAGTGAGAAAAATTTCTAAAAAAAATTTCATACTCTACCGTTCTACTAGATTTTCGTCTTGCAATTCGATCAAATCTGTTTGTACGGAAATTAAAGCTACTAAAATGAACTGTCTCATGGAAAAACCAATAAGGTGAGAGTTCTCTTTAATCTCTTTTTCTCTTTTTCTTTCATGAACACGTACATATCGTGTACGTGGAATGCATGCGTACATCTCGGTGTCGTTTTAAGTTTATCCATTGCAAAACGCGTTGATGGTGGCACGTCCGCGGTCAGGAAAAGATTACTTGTTAATGATGTGTATGTGTTCTCGTTAATTATGCATACCTTCTAAACGTAAAGAGAAAAAAAAGTAAAAAATAGGTATGTCACAGCAAACCGATGAGTACAAGTACATTATTATGCAAAATACTTTACACGACAAATTAACTCCAATTACGTTTCAATTTAGATTTATTAATTATTTTTTTTTTTATTCGTAAACCGGAATTTGTATTTTTATCGAAAAAGCTGTATTAACGAAAATCCTTATATTTTCAATAAATTTTTGTTTTTATTAATATTTGTTTTATTTGTTATGTACAGATCCGATTATTCTGATTAATGATTACAAAAATTTAAAAAAAAAAAAAGAGATAATATCCTCTTTTACTCAACATATAATTCATTTTAATTGACATTAAAATTAAATTAAATTTAAAAGGAGAAAAATAAAGAAAAACAGAAATGAATTTTTAAGAAACCGTTGTAAGGACAAATTGAAAGAAGCATCGAACTCGACAGAAACTTGTTATTTCGAAAAGTTGACGGAAACACAAAAAACTCATGTATCACGGAAGGTGTAAGCACAACACACATACGTAAAAATATTAATATACTTACTTGGGATAGAGCTACATATACGGGTTGTAAACTCGCGCTTTTTTTTTTACCGTAACTTCGTGCTACATGTTTTAACCAAAGAAGGATATTCATCGAGTATGATGCTTGTTCGTTGTAGCACGGATCGAACGTTAAGAAAAATTTCGAAGTAAACGACGAAGTATCTTCGAAAAACCGAACTGGAGATGATAATCCATCACCGTGTTCGGTCTTTCCATCATTGGATTATTGACAGCAATCTAAAACTTAAAAATAGTACGCATCTGGACATTTAATGGTAATGGAATTCTGTAGCTTTTGCAAAAGGAATCTTAACTTTTACCAATTTCCAAATATATCCATTAAAAAAAATATATTGAAACATCGTTTGAAAATAAATTACTTGTATATATACAAAAGATGGATTACAAAATTGTTTAAAA